ATTTGTTCTCTATAATAGATTAGAACTCTATAAATGCTCACTCTTAATGTCATAATCACATAACCCCAAATTATACTATGTATGCAAATACAATAAGCTTAATGGTTGTGTGTGAACAAAGGGATATATTCAAAATAAGTCTAAACTCAATTAAAATCTAGCTTATGGAAATTATAATCAAAATAATAAATTGCTAGAGATTGAGTTTAAAGAAAACTTCTCTAAGACAAGAGAGATGAAGATGTGAAATTGAAAGGTCAAACCCAAGTTGATTTCCTCTTCTTGTAAAACAATCTTTACAAAACTAATTTTGTAAACAAACACTTAAACAAACTTAAACCACACTTAAAAACTTATTTAGAAACTCTCTTAGATAGGTGTGAATGATAAATGCAATGGGGTATATATAGGGTAGAAGAAAACAACCCAAGAAAACCCCAAAATCCCACTAAAAACAAAAATCGGCATGTTATCGTTACTATGCAACGATAACATCAGCGATCGACCGCAGTGTCAAGGACGGTCGACCGCGAGAGCATGAAAAACAGACTAGTTCTTTGGACAATTGGTGGTCGACCGCCACGACCACTCCGGTTGACTGCGGACTAATATTTCAGATACACAGGTTTTGAAAACAGTTTTCTGACTTTTAAACTTGATTTAAAAATAGTAAAAAAATTCTAAAAAATAAAAAACTTTGGAAAATGTTTGTAAACATGATAATAAACATGTTATAAAAAGTATTTTTAGAATTGCACTTCCCAATTGTAAAATATCATCATTTTGCAAAAATATCCAAAAACATGAAAACTAAACATACATGTTTTTGACATATTGATTTAAACAAACTTTTAAAACTTTATAAAATGATTTTATAGATTTAATAAAAGATATAAACTATTGTTGTTAATTCTATAAACCAAAAACTCAATATTATGCAGAAATGAAGTTTTGCACAATATATGAATTTGACAGAATGATAAATATGAAACATATAAATATGTATATGAATGTATATTTGTTTCATATCTAAACCAAAACCATTTTTCCACAAGAAAACAAACATGAAAACCAAAAACTGGTTTCGTTTGGATACCATGGTGTTTTCCTTGTTGTGTTTTCATAGAAAAACACCATGATGTTGTGTTTTTCCCTTAAAGTGTTTTCAAAACACCATGTTGAGTGTTTTTGTTCAACATTAGTTTGACCTATTACAACATTAGTATTAAACATATTATTAATATATTATTCATTAATTATAATATAATATATTATAAATAAACTTTTATAATATTTAGTTTACATTATTATAGTATTATAAGTATATAATATAATATTGTATAATGTATTATAATATTATATTGTTAGTATTATAAGTATATAATATAATATTGTATAATGTATTATAATATTATATTGTTAGTAATGTTAATATTATGTTATTACTACTACTATTTTAATAATTTATGATATAAATCAACATTATTATATTATGAATATATTATTTTTACATTAACATTTGTTAGCAATAAATTATTTTAGTATTAAAAATTATTCTACTTTATAATATATTAAATTATTTAGTGTATAATATATTAATATTTTTATATTATACTATAATGAGTTATATTATTTTATAATTATTATTATATTTAATTATTACATATTATTTTCAAATAATTATATATTAATTATTTTGGTATATCAATTTTAATATAATATTATACTATCATTAATATAATATTATACTATTATTAATATGATATAATATTATTAATAATGTTAACATATTAATTACATTTAATATATTATGTTAGATATTATATTAACACCTCCTCAAACTCAAAACCAAAACACCAAACTTAAAACACCTAAAGGTGTTTTGAAATAAGTGTTGTGTTTTTTGTTTGAAAATAATTTAGCCCATAAAACACCATGGTTTCCAAAAAGCGTGGTGTTTTATTTTTGGCAAAAACATAATGGAAACAAGTAAAATACCATGGTATCCAAACGGAGCCTAAAATGTGTGTATATATATAACTGTATATATATACATAGAAACCAATAAAATGTGTGTGTATATATATGATATTGAGCTTAAAGTATCTAACACGCATAATATAAACTCCTAAACTAGATTACTCAAGCTATAGGTCTTCAATAAGCACTACTTGGATCTTGACTTGAATTGCATTGCTTCATTCTACTATTCTGCCAACCTCCATTGGATATGATCGTTATGGCGCAATTCCATCCAACCTCCAACAGATTGTTTGTCTAGAATAAATAAGAAAACGCAAGTACTAGACAAATAATATTAGTCGTAAATTGTTTGTTAAAACATCATCAAAACAAAAAGGCAAACAAGGGGCCACTGTTATGTCATCATTTAATCTAAGTGTTAATCCTCCTCTTGGAGTTGACATGTGCCCCATATTAGCATTGATTGTTAGCTCAGCTCACATCCGCCAGGAGCGACTCGGGTAGTATGGGCACTTGTCCCTTCCCCAGGAGAGCCAAGTCGAGACAAGTTTTCACTCAACTTTCTTGTGTCAGCCCCATATTCGCTCAGGGTCGGGTCGACAACTTGTGAGGCTAACTAGGAAAGCAGTACTTATCATCTAGCTCGTAGAGTCGGGTCAAGAGGCAATTTGACCTTGAATTCCTTACCAACACCTGTCCATTATCATCATTGCTAATGCCTCGAGTCCTCATGACTCATCTCCCACTTGATAGGAGGCCCTCCGAAGCCCCCGATAGAGCCACATGTACGACATTTCTGGCTAACTTCCACAACATATTCAGAAATTATTTAGTTCGTTGGTTCCCCACTCAAGTCCTATATTGACTTGATCATCAAAGGAATCACCAGAGAACCCAACTACGGGTCCTCTAATGTTCTTATTTTGCATCTCTTTTATTCTCAACAGACAACAAGGGATCAGCCATATGAGGAAATGAGGGGACCTATGCCATCCATATTCACTCTAAGCCCCATCATTTACTCGAGATTATCTGATAATCCCGCTACTGAGTCTCAGAACATCAACAATGTGTTTTTATGAGCAACTTATTATAAGCTACAACACTGGATTTTTAAGATATTAGTTCTTTAAATCTTCAACAATTGCATATTGGTCTTTCAAATATTGATAATTGTATATTAGTCCCTTAAATCTTATAGAGTCTTGTAAAATGTTCCCTCTGTTAGTTTTTCAGTTTAAAAAAAAATCTAATCAAGATTGAGTTAGTTCCAACTCAATATCTGTCATCACCAAATTACCCCTCTCCGGTTTTCAAATCTTTGTAAAGCTCAACCTTGGGTTAGGATTATTTTCTAACTATTGGAGAAGAACCCAAGTGAGATTGAGTCTTATTTTAAGCAACTATTGGATTCAAAGCCGTTAGGAAATAGATTGGGGAAAATAATAAGAGATAAAGCAGTCACTATGCCTCCAATTGTTAGATTTAATGAATATTTCCCTCAAATCTAATGTGAGTAATTAGAAGGACAATTTTGTAAGATCCTAAGGTTTTGAGGCACTAATATGCAATTTATAAGATTTGAGGGGCTAATATAGAATTATTGATAATTCAAGGAACTAATATCTTTAAATTAAGGGGCTGTTTGGTTCGTTTCCTTGATATAGGAAAATGCAATTCCATGTAAAGAAATATAAGTTTTGAGTTTTTCAAACTTTTTCAAGAAATAGATTGTTTTGCTTTGGTTCGCACATAAAAAATGGTGAGAAACCAATGTATTTATTTTTCTTGTGTTTGGTTCGCATAAAAAAAAAGAAAAACTTTTGTAAACAAAGTAGAGAAGGAAAAAAATCTGACGTGGCAGAGTTTTCATCAATTTCACTCGGTTGGGGAAGGAAATCGGAGAGGGAAAAAAAATCTGAGTTTGCGGTGATTTCAGCAGAGTTTTCCCTCTTCCATCCGAGCGAACCAAAGCGGTACAAAGAAATGGACGGAAACAAAAAAACTGACGTGGAGGGCTAAAAATCTGACGTGGAGGGGTTTTCTGAGTTTTCCACCCCTTATAATAGCGAACCAAACAGCCCCTAAAAAAACCTCTCTCTCAAAACGTAATACTACTTTCCTTTCTCATTTCAATATTTCTCACTCGAATCAACTTTAATAAATGATTCTAATACATATTTATATGATAGGATATATGTTTAGCACAACTTAGTCCACATTTCAATCCATGAAAATATTGCCCTACCATAACATCGGAATTATGGTATAAATAAAAAGTATCTATAAACTGAATTGTATACATCTGTTTTACCTTCTAATCAATCTTCACAAAGATCTTTCTGTCACTAAATCTGGTCTCATTTGCAATTTCGTCTTTTTGAATTCCTATCACTAGTTTGCGGTCCCTGCAAAGCACGGTATTTTTGCTACAGTAATCCCGTTTTTTTAATATTCATGATTTGAATTTTTGGAATTGCTATAGTATCCCGCTCTGCTACAGTACCTGTTAAATGTTGCAGTATACCCGTGTGCTACAGTACCATTTTAATTAATTATTAGCTACAGTAATCATACCGCAGTAAATGTTATTGTAGCATTTATTGTAGCATAAACAGTAAATCTCTGATCCTCCTATTTGTATAAAGGAATAGATTTAATAATTAATAATTAGTAACTGCATGGTCCCACTAGATCACTTTTGTAGCTGTATCTCCACACGCCATTAGTCCAGGCCCATTTCTAGCCCAATAAAACAACTGACGATTTATGAAACGTCTCTACCCGATTCGGACAAAATTCACTGAACAATACTTAATTGCGTTAATTCCCTTCAAATTCCACGCTTTGCAGACACGGTTCCTTCTTTTGCATTTTGAACCTGCGTAGCAAACTAAACAAAAGCTTGGCAAGTAACTGACGTATATCTGTAAATTCTAATTAGTCGCTGACCTTTCAGTAAATTCCCCAAAAATTTTGAATTTGTTTCCAGATTTGTATAAATCCCGCTCTCCTTTCCTCCCCAAATTCATTCCACCACTCGCTCGAACCCTAATTAATCTCTCTCTCTCTCTCTCATCGCTCTCTGTGATCTCTGATGGCGGCGACGAACATAGGGATGATGGATGGCGCCTACTTCGTCGGCCGAAACGAGATCCTCGCCTGGATCAACTCGACGCTCCATCTCAACCTCTCCAAGGTCGAAGAGGTACGAACCTTTGAACTCAATTTCATCGAATTTTTGACTGATTTGGTCATTGATTTGGTCTTTTGATCGACTCCGATCGAGAAATCTCAGGCGGCGTCTGGAGCGGTCCACTGCCAGCTCATGGACGCGGTTCACCCTGGGATGGTGCCGATGCACAAGGTTAATTTTGATGCCAAGACCGAGTATGAGATGATACAGAATTATAAGGTTCTTCAGGATGTCTTCAACAAGCTCAAGATCAACAAGGTTTTGGCTCTTCGATCTCTATATTTTCTGTCGTCTGATTGGTGATATTGTTGAATTTTCACCCCCGTCTGTTGTTGGTAGATGCGGTAGCATTTTAGGTTGTCATTGTGCTGGATTTTGCAGCGATTTGGTGCTTATTAATTATTTTAGTGAGGGTTTGTTTGGATTTGGAGCGAGCGAAGGGAAGTTAAGAGAAACTAGGAGAAGTTAAGGGAAGGTAACAAAATATGTAAAAATTGTTTAGGAAATTAGTAAGGGGAATTAAGGAGAACTTATTTCACCCCGTTTGGAAAGTGTAATAAAGTGAAGGGAATGGAAGAGAATATATATAATATGACATAAATACCCTTCATGTTATTAAGTTATGTTTTTGATGGTGGGTAAATTGATCTCTCTACAATTGCTTTGCTGCCCCCTCCTTCACCTTCACTCTGGTTACACCTCAATTTGGGGGAAGAAAAAAAAAAGGTTTTTCTCCCCATCTTTACCTTCCCTTCTCCCCCACTACCTAGCTCAATTTAATTCCAAAACAAGGTTAAAACCTACCATAACTTCCTCTACCCCTTACCCTCAATCCAAACACATTCTAAAGCAGGTCAGACGCTGTGGGAACTTATTAACTAGAGAACATAAATACGAAATGTAGAAGAGAATGGGGGAGAATTACAGTAGGAGAAGGTACGGAAGGTTAAGAAGAATAAGAAGAAGAAAAGCAAGCTAGTGTGCCAATCACCACAATGTGGTTCATGGTATGTTTTGGTCTTTGTATAATCAGTGGTTATGGAATATTAACATCTTGGAGTAGGTAGCGTTTTTCATAAGGCTGGTTGGCGGGAGACTACTAGTCCACTACTATACTTATATTGAAGATTACAAAGATCTAAATTCAGAAGAAGGAAACTTAAATAATTTGGGAGGAGGCTGGGGCGGGGAATGCATTCCTGAGGAGTAGATTCACGAGTCACAACTCGAATGCTGCAATGCTCAGGTGTATAAGATCTAAACACTGTTGTCTAGAATGCAACATTTGGCCTGGCAATTCAACTTTCGGACAGTTTGGATTTTACTATGGTGGAAAGCATGAATAATCAAGAGATTGGAAATTGAGACATAGAATTGTCTTCTGTTATTTTCAATTGTTTTGAATAATGAGATATATACAACCAGCCTTTTTCCTTTTTTTACTAGTTTATTCCATTTCCATCAACACCCAAAATATTGAAATTTCAAAAGACTTTAGATAGAAGATGTAGAGAATTGAGATATTTGGGCAACTAGTCCTGTGGGTTCAGTGTATATAGTTTTCAACTTTCAACCAACGTGTAATGATATTTGTTGCATCTCGATGAACATGGTGGACTAGGCCTGAATGAGCCCCCTCTACCAAGAATTAACAAAAGCACACAAAATGCATACAATATTAGTTCGTAGAGCAGAGTTTTTTTAGCTATGCTCACAAAGGCAAAGTCCTCAGAAGGTATCTGTGATCAGTGATTGCCATACTTTGTGCTTTGGACCTACTAAAAGCATAATCTTGACCTAATCGATCACACTCTAGTTTCATTATTATGTTGAATATTCAAGATAATGTTGTAATCAATTAACTAAAAAGAGTTTGAAATTTCATTTTCCATTACTAAATCATAATGACTGTCAATATTCTGTATTCCATTCGTGACTTATTAGATTGAAATGGATATTGTCCTAGCATTGAAATTAGACTTTTCTCTATAAGAGGAAAAAACCATGTTATATTCATATGATGAGAAAAATGATGAAAAAAAGAGCAAACTTTACCCTCATTCTTCTTCATTGTACCCAACTCTCAAAATCTGTGATCTACCTTCATTTGAGTATTTTTGCAAACAATTCGTGCCGTGCTCAACATCCTTCGACATTTGTGTATTACATGTTGGGTTACTGTTAGGAAGGGTTTGTAGGTATAGACGTATAGTGCATTGGCTAACTGCATGAGATCACCATATACCTTTTACTTTGTTACTTTGTTGTAGCCGATCGTTATTGTTGTTTTGTGCATAAATATAGTAATTAATTAGTTTGGTCTACGGTGGTAAGAAGCATCATCGTGTTCCAAATGTTATGAACCCTAACAACATGAAAGTAAATTTCTTTATAATGGTTTAACATCTTCATATGTGCTTATATTCTATGCAGGGCATCTTAGAGCAGATGTGTTTCATAGACATAAAACGGGACAATATATCCCCATTTGATTGTCAACAGTGTTTTTTAGATTGTAACAGAATTTACTTTTTAGACTCATCATTCACACAAGTCTTGCTCTTATTAACAGTTTGGAAGGAACTTTATAGTCTTTTTAAACGATCTTCACTCTTCAGTTATATTTGAGACCATCAGTGCTAACAAACCTTTTGGTTTCTTTTTGCTAACAAACCTTTTGGTTTCTTTTATTAGCATGTCGAGGTGAACAAGCTGATAAAAGGAAGGCCCCTTGATAATTTAGAATTCATGCAGTGGATGAAGAGGTACTGTGACTCAGTTAATGGTGGTGTTTTGAACAGGTACTCCTTTGTCAATTAGTTTATTTGTTTAGCTCTTCTGAATGTTAGCGCCAATGTCCTTTCATTTAGTTGTATCAAAAGATTTTCCCTACTCAGTTTATTTGAAAACATGATTATTATATTTCCCCTTTGCTTTCCTTCCTTTCCTTTACTTCATTTCCTCCCCTATTAAGCTCCCAAATATCGCATTATTGTTGATACTTTGGATGCTATTTTCCTTCGTTGTCTTCTGTCAGTGTAGCAGTTATTTGCTGTAGTCATAATCTTATCCGCTGCTTGTACCTTCTCAGCTACAATCCCTTGGAAAGAAGAGAATCTTGTAAAGGAGGAAAGGAGGCACATAAAAAATTGGCTTCGTCACAAGTTTCATCAAAGTCTTCATCTGTTGTTGGTAAAGCCCACACCTCTCATGCCACACGGAAGAATGATGGAAATGCTACTAGTGCCTCATCCCATAGGACCACAAGGTCCGCTTCTACCTCAGGAGGGCAAGCTTATGATGAGCAGGTTAGCTTCAACGGCTCTATTAACTCGGAGCATGATTGAACCTATATTTGTTCTTTTTTCGTTAACCTTGATGTAGAGGGACCTAAACAATTATTTTAATTGAATGCAGATAACTGAACTAAAGCTTTTTGTGGATAGCCTCGAGAAAGAAAGGGACTTCTACTTTGCTAAGCTTCGAGATATTGAAGTATTGTGCCAGAAACCTGAGTTAGAACAGCTGCCTGTAAGGACTAACTTCGGTTTCATATTGTTTTTATGTTTATTCTTTTTAGAATCTTTCTTCTATAGCTCTGAAAATCTAAATTTTGAGACGAGATTTAACTTCATACTTGAACTTGCCTTATAATAAAATATACCATACTTATTACATCACCTAGTGTGCATCAAGTAATAAGGTTTACTGTAATTTTTTTTCTGGTATTCTCAGTAATAAGGTTTACTGTAATTGTGAGATGATATTAAATAGTTTCATGCATCTGGACTGTATAATCCCCTCTGAAGTTCAACGCTAATTCAAATTTTAAAACAACGTGGAAGAAATTATACGATGATCCTCAACCTGAGGGCAAAATTCATAAGACAACAAGTGGAATGCAATAGGAAGTGTTCCTTTACATCTCATTTGTTGCCTAATCAATGGGCACAGTTATCCTAAGTTTACTCAACCTGCCTCTTCTACCCCTTTAGGCGCACTAACAATGAGTTAAGCCAGTCGTAATGAGTTAAGCTATGATCCTCCTTGATTTGTAGAATTTTTATATTCTCGCAAAAAGATTGCATCAAATGACTAATATGTGTCCCTACATCCAAATCTCATCAGGACTCCCAATATCTGAAGGTCCAGAACACCCTGTCAACATACCCATTGACCATTTATTCTCCTTCTAGCAAAGTAAACCATCACCGATCTCCTCGATTTGAATCCCATCCAACTTCATAGGAATTGCAATGTGTGCTAACATGTTTGCATCAAATTCAAGGGAATACATTCGGGACTTAACTCCGACATAAAGTTACCTACAACAAAAAAGTAAAAAAAAAAAGTAGTAGTAGTAGCAGAAGTAATAATAATAATAATAATAATAATGATAAGATTTTTCTCATCTTGTTTCTTTCCATAAATTTTATCTTCATGGCAGTTAAGATAATTCCTCTCTTTTATAAAGAAATGGCTAATTATGAAAATTATTACCATGTTATACATATTTAGTTAACTAATGAGGGAAATATTAAGGATAAGAACTACCAGGTTAGATGAAAAGACCATAACATAGCCAAGTATAACACACTGATGTAGACTTTTGAGGAAGAAGAAAATCAAAGTAGTCCGGAAACCTGCAAGAGGGGTATATCGTCAATCTTCTTTTCTTATTCTCATTGGAAGAGAGAGAACATCTGAAAACGTAATACATAACAAATTTGGGCTTAGATCCATGTCCTTCACAAGATCAGGAACACTTCAGGAAGCAGTGATCAGGACACCTCCTTGGCTGTTGTTATTGTTGTGCGCGTACCTTATCTATGATCTAATTTTTTATCATGACATTTGGCAATAAGCTTATAAATTCACGTCATGCTTAATCACTAAATAATGGTATGCCTGTTACCTTTCATAGATTGTAGGCGCAATCCAGAAGATACTTTACGCTGCAGAAGACAATCCCTCTGTGATTGCAGAAGCACAAGCTATGATTGAGCAACCAAACCAGCAGCTGCCTTCTGTTCTTAGTCCCATACCTGAGGCAATAGAAGAGAGGCCGAAGCAGGAAACACAGAAGAGGAAAGATATCAGCAACTTTGAGGTGGAGGTCGAAGAGAACTCGAAATCTACACCGAGGCAAAGACTTTCAGACATCTCAAATTTCCAGGATGGTAGCCCTCTTGTGGATGCTGAAACCTTTTGAGCATCAGAGCTTGTAAAATTAAATTGTTGCAATTTGATTTCAGGATTCCGGAGATGCTTGAACTGCGATAATTATCTTATGTTCTACATTCTGGTTGGTGGATCATGTTTTTGTCACTGATGGTAGAGTTCTCCTACACTGGCCTGTTTTTGATGTTAGTCACATCAATAGGCTTGGTTGCTATGACTTTGTTTGATAGGATGATGTTTTTCTTGTTGTGATTTTGTAAAAAAACATTATTTGTGTGTTTTCCCCTTAGGGGTTGTTTGTTTGCTCAAAAAAAAGAGAGAAATGAAGGATTTGAAATCTGACCCCTTAGCCACATAGGATTTTAATTTTTAGACATTTCCACTCTCAGCGTTTGGTTCGCTGAGTGATTTAAAGAAATGGGGGTGCTACATCAGATTTTGTAGAAAACCCATTTTAGAACAAAAGTGGTTGAAATGGATGAGAATATCACATTGCTTAATATTTAATTGCTACATCAGATTTTGTAGAAAACCCATTTCAGAACAAAAGTGGTTGAAAGGGTTATATTTATTGTCTTATTATTGAATATTTAATTAGAAAATTCATTTGATTTCTTAACTTTTTGATGTTTAAACAAACCCAAGAAATGTGAAACAATGTTTTCTGGCCTATGATTTCAATGTGAAACAAATCAAATAAGTCAAATGGGGGAAACCCTTTGAAATGTCCAGAAATAGTTTTCAAACTAGTTTTCTGGAAACAACGACGATGAGGAGGGCCAGGGCCAGGGATGTTCGCCTCTTTGTTTTGATGACGTTTAACAAACAATTTACTTCTAATGTTGTTTGTCTAGTATTTGTGGTTTTCTATTTATTATAGACAAACAACACGTTGGAGGATGGATGGATTGCGCTTCAACGATCAAATCCAATGGAGGTTGGCGGAATTGTGGAGTGAAGCCTATGCAATTCAAATTAAAAATTCAAGTTCTAGCTTCATCCGTAAGTGTACCAAGTTGAGCTACATCGAAGATCAATCTAGCTTGGGTATATTTAGTTTAGGTTTTATATTATGTGTGTTAGTACTTTAAGCTCAATCATATATACACACACATATTTGGTTTTTATATATATAGTTATATATATACACAAGTTTTGGTTTATGGACTTACCAATTATTGTATACATATTTCATTAAGTCTATAAAATTATTTCATAGGGTTTCAAAACATTGTTCATGTCAAAACATCAAATTTCATGTATATCACATTTTCATGTTTTGGACACACTTGCAAAATACATGAGTTTTTACAAACGGGTAACTCAATTTGAGAAATTCTTTTTCTAACATGTTTAATTTCATGTTTTTAAATGTTTCCCAAAGTTTTATTAATTTTGGAATTAATTTGTTATGTTTATTTGAATTTACAAAATCAAGTTTTTAATTAGCTCATGTTCGTGCATGTTTTTGCAAAACAGATGCGTTTTTACAATTGGGAAATGCGATTTGAAAAAAAAATTCGTTCACATGTTTATCATCATATATACAAACATTTCTCCAAGTTTTACTATTTTTGGAGTTTTGTTATTTTTAATTAAATTTACAAAACCGTATTTTCTACAGTTTTTTTAGAAATTGTATATCTATTTTCAAACATTTATTTCTCTCAATTGGGAAGTGATATTTCAGAAATTCTTTCTCTAACATGTTTATCTTCATGTCTAAAACCTTTCCTCAAAATTTCATGATTTTTGGAATTGATTTACTATTTTTTATTGATTTTAGAAAGCTAGAGACGTAAAAAAATCAGATCTGCCAGACTGGTACAATACCCACGGTCGACCGCTACAGTACCACGGTCGACCGTGAAAGATACTGTAGCATAACGGCTCTATTTTCCCTGGTTCCGATTTTTTGGGGATTTGCCTCGTTTTTTGGGCTTTTCTTTGGCTTTGGGTTGTTGTCTTGAGTTCTTATAAATACCCATCATCCCTCAACACTTATAACCATCCAAGAAATGTTTTAACAAAGTTTTAACAAGGGTTTAAGTATTGTTTAAGTATTGTTTAAGAAGCTTTTAATCACTTAAGAGTTTGAGTTTGTGAAATCAATTTCACAATAGCTTGAGGAGATTGTCTATTGGTGTTTGAGCATCCAACTACTCTCCCTCGATCTCTTGATCTATTGAGAAGTTTTCTAAACTCCTTTTCTAGCTTTATATCTATTTGTTTGATTATCATTTTATTAAAACTACTTTTATATTGAGTTTAGATTTGTTTAATATCTTTGCTTACACACACATCATTGAGCTTATTGTTTTTTCATACATTGTATAATTAGGTTGTGGGGAGTTGTAACAATTAAGAGTGAGCTTCATTGTGTTCTCATCCATATCTGAGAACAATCATTTGTTATATTATGAGATTGTAAAGTTTTCGGTGAGCTAGAAAATCGACTGTGAGGTGTAGACGTTGATCGGTGAGCGTTGAAAACCGATATTGTGAGAGTGTGAATTGTGAAGTTTTCGGTGAACTAAAAAACCGAGTGTGAGGTGTGGACGTTGATCGGTCAGCGTTGAAAACCGACATTGTGAGGTGTAAACGTTATTTGGGTAAGCGTAGAAAACCCGGTTGTGATAGTGAATTTCTCCCCGGGAGTGGGGAGCGGAGACGTAGGACGAAAGGTCTGAACTCCGTGATCATATTGTGTGTTTGCATTGTTTATTTGCACACTATCACTCTTGTTTTGTTGAACTCCGTGATCATATTGTGTGTTTGCATTGTTTATTTGCACACTATCACTCTTGTTTTGTTTATGGTTATTTCACCCTTGTGTTAAGTTGTATATCCTCGCATATATCTCATAGTATATCTCATTGCTAGGACATTTCCCTTTGTTCATATTGCATATTCTTGCTCATATCATGTTGTATATCTATCTTGTAAGAATAATAATTGAATTAGTTTTAATTGGCATAAAATCGGATTAGATTAGCATAAGACCCTAATCACCCCCCCTCTAGGGTCCAACAAGGGAGACAAGCTTAAGAAAGCCATTGGTTTTAGAGAGAGAGAGAGAGAGAGAGAGAGAGAGCTGGTGAGAGAGAGATAGTGCTGGGGTTTGAGGGATTGAGGAGATGTGATAAAGACATTTTAGGGATTTTAGCTTAGTTGACATGTAATAATTGCTAAAAAAGAACTGCAGCATAAAATATCACATTTTAAGGGGCTGAACTACATAGGGGAAAAGTAAAAAGATTGTAGCACATGAAGTTTATTTTTTGGGGGGCATTGACACATTTTTCCCTTACATTATTATAGTATTATAAATATTAAAGATAATATAATATAATATTATATAATGTATTATAATATTATATTATATTTTAATATGCTATATTATATTATAATTATTACGTATTATTTTCAAATAATAATATATTTAATTATTTTTGTACTTAATTTGTTATTGTTATATATTATATTGTTATATATAATTGAATTTATTATTGTTATATATTATAATAATATTTTTAAAATAATAATATTTTATTATTAATATAATATTATACTATTATTAATAAAAGATAATATTATTAATAATGTTAATATTGAAAATACTCTGGGGGGTTGAATAGGGTTTATGCTAATCTTATTAAATATTAATGCCAATTAAAACTTATTAACAAATTATTCTTGCAAGATAAATATACAATGTGTTATGTGCAAGAATGAGCAATATAAATAAATGGCAATATCCTAGCAATGAGATATACTATGAGATATATACAAGGATATAAACACAAGAGTAAACAATATAGTGGGATAAATAAACAATGTAAGAATGACGATATAAGATATGAGCACAAATAAAACAACATCAAAGCAAACTCAAACACATGATATATTCACCTCGAGGAGATCTCCACTATTATAACCGAGTTTTCTACGCTTACTCGAATAACGTTTACACCTCACAACTCAGTTTTCTAGTTCACCGAAAACTTTACAATTTACACACTTGTAATCACATTCTACACCCTCTGAGTGTTGGCCTAGCCCGTATCACATTTCTCAAGTATTCAGAATTACAACCTCTCACTAGGCTTTACTACCCACCCTACTCCTTTTGGAACCGACCTCGTCCCTCACCACACACTTCTTTCAGTATACAAGTGTAATACAACGTGTAACTCACAATAAGGTTCAAATACAAGATTTTGTTCTCTACAATAGATGAGAACACAATATAAGCTCACTCTCACAATATCACAATCCCACAACCCAATATATGATGTATGAAATACTAAAAGCTCAAATAGGGATGTGTGATAAGATGAGTACAAATAAAATCTAACTCAAATAATGAACTAGCAATAATAAGAATATGAAAATCGATAATAAATTGCTAGATAAAAGAGTTAGAAAAACTTCTCTATAAACACAATAAGAGGATGAAGAAGATTGAGGATGAATTCCTCAATTTGACAATGCAAGCTTCCTCTTTTGTAAACAAACACCAAACTCAAACTTGAGAAGAAACAAACTTTTAAGCTCTTAAAACTCTTGTTAAAACCCTCTTTGATCATTTCAGAAGTGAAACAATAGGGGGTATATATAGGATGAAAAATCAAGGCACAAAACCCAAGAAAATCCAGCAAAAAAGACAAAATAACAAAAGCTGGAAAATAGCAGTTAGGGCTTATCGATCGACTGACGGCTCTTATCAGTCGACTGATGAGCTGATCATTATAGGCAATTGGCAGCTCATCTGTCGACTGATGGTATGATCAGTCAACTGATGACCTCATCAGTCGACCATAATTAAAACAGAAACTTTTTAAGATTGCAGGATATTTTTTTTCAGTCGACTGATAAATGTCATCATTCGACTGATAACAGGTTTTCAGCCTGTATTAATTTTTTAAAACAAATTATAAAGTTCTTTTAAAAATAACAAATAAATTTTAAAAAATGTAAAACTTTAGAAAAAGTTTATGTTGATGTCTGATATCATAGAGTCGAGGGGGTTACGGTTCTGGTCTTTGGGTTGGCGGCGAATAGAGAGAGGATGAGAGATGGGGCCAACTCCTCCTCCAACTTTATGCCCGATCCTTAGACTGGAATTCCTATCCT